TCGATACTCAGGTGATTAAAGTCCTCATTTCTTTCAGTGCGCATGGATGGCGTTATGGCCGTGTTGGCAGGCCTGGTCGAATCGGGTGTCGGTGAAGTGGCGGGCAGTCCCTTGCCGTTTGTTCGAAGTTGTCGAAGTGGAAGAACATTCTCCGCGATCGTCCAAGCCTTGCCTGGCCTTGATCAACCCCCTCCCACCCCTCACCGCCAGCTATTGAATTCCTGACCGGCCGCGTTGCTCATCCCGCCGTCGTCATGTCGCTCCCGTAAGTTCCGTTTCGCGGTCGCTGGGGAGGGGGCCTCGTCGTGTATGATCATTGCCTGCGTGTGGCTGATGGCTGAGACCTTCTCGCTGACAGGTACGAGGTCTGCGCGAATGCGCCAAACTTCCCGCAATGTGAGTATCTGTTAAATGATCTCTGCTGGTGGAAGCCGCGTTGGAAGCTGCAGAGTCGATCTGCCCTCCTTCACCCTCTCTGACTTCATTTCTCGCTCATACAGGCAACGCCGTCTACCAGGACCCTGTCCTCAAGATCCAGCGCATTCCAGACCCCCCGATCGTGCCCCTCTGGACGAAAGCCATGACGAACCTGTTTCAGAACAACCCGGACCTAAACCCGGACGTTCTGAACCTCCCGCCCATACCGCCCGCGCCGGTTTCGGGCGGCGGGGCAAACTGGGCGTCGACAAGTAACATTACGGCGCCGTCTTACACGAAGACGCCCGTCTGGGACGTCACGGACCCGTATGTCGAGGCATGCAGCTGTCCGCCGGGGAAGTGGGCTGTCACGTATGTATTTTTGGGAGCGTTTACGAGAGAGGAGTATGAAGAACAAAGAAGAAGAAGTTTCTTGCGGAAGGCACATCAACCCCGCTTGGTCGATTGGTGAATATTAGGGATGGCGCTAACGTATAAATTGTAGGTACGACGACGGCCCGTTACAGTACGAAGCCGAGTTCCTGGCGACGCTCGCTAGCATGAACGTCAAGGCCAGCTTCTTTGTCCTCGGATCGAACGTACTCAACTATCAGCAAAGTCTGAAGGATGCATACGCCGCGGGACATCAGATTGGGATTCACGTGAGTTCTCAGGGACTTCGAGGCGTGGTGGAGTAGAAGCTTTAATTCGCTGATCCGCATTCGCAGACGTGGACCCACCCGTATACGACGACCAGATCGACGGACGAGATCGTCGCTGAGACCATCTATGCGGCCATGGCGATTTACAGCGTGATTGGGCAGGTGCCCAGATATTGGCGGCCACCCAAAGGCGACATTGACAGTTGGTTCATCTTTACAATTTGATCCGCAGCCCCCTCCCCTGACACTAACGCCCCTCCAGACCGCGTCCGGGGCATCATGAGCGCGCTCGGCCTCCGCGTCGCGATGTGGAACGTGGACTCTAAGGACTGGACCATCAACGGCACCGGCCAACTCTACCCCTGGACGGCGCAGAACGCGACCGACGTCCTCGCCTCTGTCTTCAAATACGGCTACTACGTCAACTACTGGGGCGGCGGCGGCGATATCTCCACGCCCGCGCTATGGACGAACCTCACCTGGCTCCCCGGCGGCCCCAACTACCAAGGCTTCATCTCCCTTGAGCATGAGCTCACGGACGGCGATCACGCCCTCAGCGTCCAGTACCTCAACACTATCTTCAACACGCCCTTCACCCACTTCAACCCCGGCACCAACCCAAACGGCGGCAAGTTCGTCCCCGCGCTGTTCTACGAGTGCGATCAGGCGCTCGGCGCGGCGGCGACGCCGTACCTGAGCACCGCGGACCCGTTCTACAACCTCGTCACCTACTGGTACTCGAAGCTGCCCATCACCCAGGCCGTCATGAGCGCCACCGACGGCGTGTATCAGTTCGGGCAGCCCGTCGCGAACACGACGGACCCACTCAGCACGGGAGGCTCGGGGAACGGCGGCGGTGGGGTGACGGCCGGCGGCGCGTCGGGGACGCCGGGGGCGTCTGTTACGGCGACGTCGACGAAGAAGTCGTCCGGGCCGGCGATGGTGGAGGTGTCGAGGGGTGGCGTGTTGGCGGTCGTGGTGACTGTCGTCGCCGTGTTGGCGGCGGTAGGGCTTGCTTGAGCCGGCCGTTTTTCTTCTTGATTCCTTTTTGTCACTCTCTGTGTACCTTGTGTATCATTTACCCCTTCATTTTCTCTCTGTTCTAGTAAGTGGTGACTTGCCTAACGTATCCTATGAACCTTAGTTGCGCTCGTTGATCGCTTCTTCGCATGCAGGCCTTCGGGCCATTTCCACTTTCCTTGCATTTAACTTCTCTCCTTCGGGTTTTATTTGTCTAATATGTTTGTACTTCTGCTTGTGCTTAGGGGTTCCAAGGTCTTCT